AACGCTTAATTCATGAACATTCTCGACCAATCACATAAATCAATCACACACAAATACGAATTGTCGCATCAATTACACTTCAACGGGCCATCCACTATATAGGGTATGTGACAACGCACATATTAAGCAGCCGCCACGGCGGGCTGACACCAGGTTGAGGCCGAGTTCTCGGTCCACTGCCCGGCCGTTGGAATTTGACCTCTAAACAGATTACGGAAACACTCTATGGATCGCTCCCATAATCGGCATTCTGTTTCGCCTTGAATCAAATTTGGTTCCGCTGCTCAATCGACAAAACTGATGCGCATCGGAGGTTGCCCGCCGATCGACAGCACCGATACTACGCCGCGCGCGCACCGACGCGACAAATTACGATTGCCTTGTCCGCCTCCCCAGTATGAGTACATTTCAGCATGAACACAGGTTTAAAAACACCAACAAACTATGCATACAACAAAAAACTAGGATGTATCAAAATCCCAGAAACTTAAGAAAACACGGGAGGGTACGACTTCAAAATTCACGAATACTCGAGAAGAGAAATACAGCAACTTCAGACAATGGCCAGAAATCGGGTGACACATCAAAGAATACAAATTTTAAATATGGCGACACTCATGCACCGAGAATTCTTACGGAAATACTCAGTGGGAAAGGCAAAACAAAAATATTGCCCGAGACTAAAATACATCCGCAGACCGCTTGGAGGAGGGGGGGGAAGCATTTTACAATTTTGCTGGTTAATTGTTGTATCCTGTGCCATACCACGTTCATCTTGCTAAGGCCTTTGGACCCTTGTCGAAAGATAGTGGAGCTCATGCTACAGAAGGCATCGGCAGTGATCGATGAGAACAAGCAAAGTGCCCACTGACCGAAACCTTGGCTTGAAATCAAGCGGCGCCGCTTAACTGCAGTTGAGGGAGGCCAGAGCACAACCAAAGAACTCCCCCCTCTTCGGGCTTTACTTTACACTCTGATGACTACGGTCCACACAGCCAGCTCTCGGCAAGCGTAAAAGAGCGGACTGCTGGCATCTCCCCATCCCCCCCTTCCCCTGAACCTTCACAATGATCTGCGGGCCTAGTCCAATAAAGGTGAAAGTGCCGTTTGAAAACTGAGAACAACATCAAGGAGAAATACTATATATGTATTGGTCTGCACTCTTACGAAATACTTATGAACTACCAGTTAAGGACATCTGGGATTCTACCGCTATTTACAAGGGCAGCACAAGGGAAATGCAATAATCGCCTAAAGTTCTATACAGAACGGGTCGACCATAACGGTGGCTCTACACTTCGTAGCATACAAAAGGCTGAGTATCGACTATAAGCGCAAAAATCAATACTTATTTTAGAGCATACAGTAGTAATAGCGGTAGCAAAGACTTATGAAAGGGGTAGAGTAGGATGGAGTGTCTATTATTAGCCCCTGAAGGCGCCAAGCGCGCTAAAGAGTTAGGGTCACGTACGCGTAATTCGCAGCAAAGACCCAATCGATTCAATGTGGTAGTACTGCACTGGGTGAAGTTAACTAGTTAGCAAATAAAACAGAGCTAGTATGCGTCGGCCGTAGTAGGATATCCGTATGGCAGCGTTCAGACTTCGCGACGGCAGCGCTTCGGTAGCGCGTTCGATGCACCGATCGTCGAATCGCGCGACAGAAGCGCTGCCGCCGCGAAGTCTGAACGCTGCCTGTCGCGGCAATCCTTGCGCAAGCTATTAGAGTACTGCTCAGCTAGTTAAACAAAGGAACGCAGTCGCACTAACCAATTTGGTTTGGAGCAATGTCGCGTACGGGCGCTGCTTCCCCTCTTTCGCCGCAACTCGTGACTAACCACAGACACACGCAACCCCTTAAAATACACCATGGTTTGAGTATAAATGGCTCCAAGTATTCAAAACGTTTTTACTATTCGAAAGGAAGCCTGCAGAAGCAATCAATCACGGACACACGGTTTTTAAGAAGACTGACACCACTCTCAAAGAAAGCCGCGACCACACCTTTCGATACTGGAGATCGGAGAATCCTGGAGTAAGAAGAGTCCCGTATCCAAGACCGCGTTCAGACTTTGCGATCGGATTGCTCGAGTGATTCGATCGCGCGACCACGACCAGGGCGCTCCACCCCAAAGCGGTGCCGCCTTAAGTGATTTCAAATTCGCCGCTACGGGAGAATCCAAATTAGGTCGCTTCACATAGTCCCACAACAGTGCCATTTTGAATTGTGCCGGTGCGGCCGCTAAACAGTGCGGCGGTGCACTGTTTAGCGTGCCCAGTCGAAGTCGCTCGAGCGACGCGATCGAACTCTGAACGCGGTCTCAATCTCTTTTGTGGGTTCCACGGCTCCCTAGTTTCACCGTTTTGCGACTCACCAGTATAGTAAGATATGAAATGCAGCCTAAACTTTGGAGTTTAAAACCATCACCACCGGGAGGAGGGAGGGGGGTTATACAGAACAACCAAGTACTTTTCAGGCATGTGCCCACGAAACACGTTTTACAGCTTCTACGTTTCCTAATCTCGGAACCAGTAAGTTTTCAAGACAGGGAAAGAATCACTGGCGAAGTTCGGCTTGGTGGGGGCATTTTGATGACACTCATCGATCCTAGTCGATGCCTCCGCTGAGACCTGTGAATTCCTGTGAACTTATGCAAGAGTTTACGAGCTTCGTTTACACTTGACAAAAGTCTACTCTCACCAAGGAGAGACGTGTAATCAAGCAAAAGAAGCGAGCAAAACGCAAAATGCTCCCCTAAGCCGAACAGTGCCCTGAAAGACCCCTTTAAAAGCGGTTGGCTGATCCTCGGAGTCAAGAGCAAAAATCTTATAAAATTCAGAGTACCAAATACACTTCTTTGCCAAGTTTTTGAATTTTCGGTATTCGAAAATAGTGTACAGCACGCGAAAATTTTTGCATTGTTCGGTCCAATTCCTTTGACGTTCTGTCCACGATTCATAAATTTCCAAAAAAGTTTACATTATAATACCCCAAACATTTTCTGGGATGAAACCGGGCTGTTTGAGAAAAGAAAAAAGGCAAAAACTGCTAATAAGACCATTACATATTGTGGTAACTATAACATTAGGCGCTAAACACGGTACAGGCTATATCATTCCCGGCCATCGACCAGTATTGGAATAAGGAACACCCCACATACAGCTAGAAGGGGACCACTCGTCTACCATATATAGCGACTATTCGTCAACCTGATAACAAGGATTGGTCCGACTTAAAGAAAGAAATAGAAAAAACTTGACAGTCCAGAACTATTTGCTTTCTAAACCAGAGGGATGACAGAAAACCTACTGTCACCAACAACCAACAAAAACTATGTACACTTGAAGAAAGTCATTCATAGCACAAAGCCGAGGTTGAAAAACATCGAATCCCATACAGCGCACCCGAATGCGAAGCACTCAATGTCGAGAAAGAAAAACCGAAAAATGCGGAAACTGTAATATAATTTTCTCACCCTCACAACTCATCCTTTCAGCCACACTATAAGCTTTTACGAGGTTTATACTTTACATGGGCAACGGCATCGGCAGACCCGTAATTGTAAAAAAAAAGGGGCATGTCTCTTATGGGGCCTGGGTGCCTTTTGCGACAAGATCATAAGTTCAGGTTGTCAGAGCGTACAGTAACCCCGTTATTATTATTATTATTATTATTATTATTATTATTAAACTATTGCTACATCGATCTTCCGAAAATAAGCCAGCTTTTGACCGTCTTTTTCTGTAGGGGCAGATTTGGCTGAAAACTCGGTTCTAGAGGTAGTTCGACTTCATGAATACGGGAATCACGTCGGCTTCGCGTGAGGTTGCCTGGCGCCCGCTGGCACCAAGATGCTCAGGATTCACCAAATCGAGCGGATGTGATATTCGGTGTATGAGACACTACCCTCTACACAAGTTTTCAAGCGGATTCTTGATTCTGATATCCTGGCGCCAGTTGCGGAGGATACCAGGAGTCAAGAAAATCCGCTGGGAATCTGGCGCAGGGCAACCTACGGTGAAGCTCGTTTCCCGTATTTTTAGGTCGAACTACCTGTAGAACCGAGCTATCAGCCAAATCTGCCCACATAGAAAAAGACGGTCAAAAACTGGCTTATTTTCGGAAGATCGATGTAGCAATTAATAATAATAATAATAATAATAATAATAATAATAATAATAATAATAATAATAATAATAATAGATAAATATAATAGTGTTCAAAATAAATAACCATCTGAAAAGCACTGTCCTCAGAAAATACGAAGAAATATCCAATGCCTCTGCATTAGCAAGTGAGATAATTCAAAATGGTATTTATACCAGAGAGTATCGGAGGTATAAGAGATAAATAAAATTTGTGTGCAATGTAGTGTGTTGGTGCACCCGACATAGATGTTTTTCACTTGACGTGCAAATTTCGGCGGTACTGTACGCAGCCTGACAACCTGAACTTATGAACTTGTCCTTTTGCGTACGAGTTGTGCTGTCTCATGCCTCGTTCGAATTATTAAAGTGATTCATCCCAGTGCCACTTTGAAGAACATGCGTGAACAAAAATGACAACTCTGACATTGCCGCGCGTGTCGTGAGCCGTGCAACCTCGCTAATTCACGGTACAGTTCGGTGAATCGGAAGAGGTCCTTACATCCGGTATGCACTGAAGTAAAGCTGTACAAAACAATGGCGCCCCATTCATACGTGTGAGGAACTTCCAAGTGAAAAAAGTTGTACTTTTTGCACTAGGGATCTGCACAGCCCACCCATGGAATAAATCAACCTAGCAGATGAGTGTACAGCGTATTTTTGACCCACTCGTGACTATGTCCACCACTGAGAATGGACACCCACTTGAGACTTATCCACCATGCCTGACCAGTTCCCAGGCTACCATAACTTCTTCGCGGCCAGGATTATGGATACAATCAGAGGCGGATGTTCTTATAGTTGTGAGCGGATTGAAAAAAAAACTAGTAAAAAGTTAAGCTTACAATTCAACAATTAATGACGAGGAACAACTGAGGGCGTAGTACTCAATTCTCTGAAGGCCGTCTCGAGGCACCTGAAAGAGAAATGAAAGGTGTCACAATCAACATGAAGTGCCACTCAACCTGAAAATAAGTCTCCCACAGGAAATATTTTACGGAAATTACCTTCTCAAATCTCCGTATGATACGACGATGAGATTATTCCCATCCCTTGACACAAGTTGTACCTTCTCGGACACACCAGCGTCAAGCTAAACACAACATATATCAAGACCTTATAAAGCTTTGCAACTTTTTGAAGTTCTTATCGTGAGGGGGAGAAAAAGGAGAGGGGAATTTTGTGGTTGACAGAAGTCTCAAGATCCTGAACTGACACCCGATTGCGCCCAGGGTACAGCATCATGATGTGTGAAATGGTGGTGTCGGCACGACCCCTTTCCCCAACACCTACCTACCAATTTCCCACATTTTCCAGTTTTACCCAAAGATTTTCCGTCGAGCGGGGGAGGGGGATATAGTACACATGAAACAGGAAAAATCACGAAAAGTCAACAACCGGGAAAAATTTTTTCCCAACGCGGCAAATTTCTCTCAAAGCCACATACGACCCCCCCCCTCTCCCAACAACGACCAAATACGACCCCCTCCCCAGCGGAAAAGTACGACCCCCCTCCCCTATTTTCACAGTGCTGTACCCTGACTGCGCAGCAGAACATCAAACGCTAGTAAGAATTTCAAGGAATACACTGTGTGAAGAACGGAACTGACTCACCTTGTTAAGGCACTGAACAATATGGGCCATATCCATCCAGGGTTTCCCACTTTCTGTTACCTAAAAATGCACGTTGAGTGGAGGAAACAGAGAAAAAAAAACATGAAATCTTACTTGATGGAACACG